GGCTTATTCATATAAATGCTCATTAACACTTTTTTGTAGTGTTAGCCCAGCTTCATCACTACCAATCTACGTGTCCCTAACATAACATCTTTTTAGAAAATAGCTGAGGGTGAGAAAAGCTGAATATATGATTTGAGCAACTACTTTTTTTTTTATTTATTTAAAGAAAAGTGGGGTATTTTTATTTCCATAATAAAGTACTGTCTTTGTTCTAACTTGGAAAGTTGATTCAGTTCATGAACAAGAAATTTGTTTTCCCTAATATTATTCCTTTTTTCTGGGGAAAGGGTCTGAGGCATTCAGGTTTGGGCTTTTCATTTCTAGGGGAACCCACACCTATCAAAGTGTATACTTTCCACTCATTGCGTATTTAACTCCCATTAATAGCTTTGGAAGTTGCACAAGTGCACTGATGGGCAATTCATATGCAAGAAGCAACTCAGAATAGCAAGCAGTAGGAGTAGGAGTAGGAGTAGTGAAGCTCATAACACCAGCAACTTTAACTGAGAAAATTCACTATTCATTTTAATTATATGACATCATACAAGAAAAATAAAAACATATTAACATTTAAAATGGAAATAGGTAGAACAATGCAATAATTAGAGGCTGTTACTTATTGGACTTGTATTGCAATACATCTCCCAGAAGTCGCATTCATTATTAGGGCCCATTGTGCTAGGAAGTGTACCAACACTGATTAAGAGTCAGTCCCTGTTCCAAAGAGTTAATAATCTAAAAACTGTTTAGCAATTTAAGGAAGAGGTAACTAGAAAGCTTCTTTAAAAGGCTGCAGGATGTGTATAACCTTACCAGTTGTTTAGACATGGGTATTTAATTTTTATAGCAATACTGGTATAAAGACAATACAGAAATGTTAGCCCCAAAAGAAAGGTGTGTTTGTTGCAGGGTAGGTACACTCTGTCCCAGGTGCCGGGTCACGTATGGTGAGAAGAAGGGGAAAAATCTGCACAGCAGCCAGTTAGGTCCTGTGTTCATGATCCTGACTATAAAACATGGTAGTGCAGCCTAGTGGCTGAGTCAATAAAGCAACCCTTCTGCTCAGGGCAGTGTGGCCTAAGGGCTAGAATCCATACAGGTGACCCTTCCACTCAGGGCAGCGTGGCATGATGGCCAGAGTCAGTAAAGCAGCCCTTTTGCTAAGGGCAGCGTGGCCCAATGGCCGGTGACAATAAGCGGCCCTTCCAGCAGGGCAGCATGGCCTAACGGCCTGAGTCATTAAAGTAACCCACCTCTGTGGGATTGCATGGCCCGTTGGGGAAGTGGGGCACCACTTAGGGGTATGTGGCGCCCAGGGTAGGGGGACTTGGGCCATCCCAGCTCCTCCGAGTCCCAGCCCGGGGCCCTGGCGATGGTGGGGATGCTCACCACCAAGTCAGTGGGGATCCTCCCATAACATGCTAACTGGCTCCCCAGTTCACTCACTGGAGAAAAGTCTAAGTCCCCTTTCTCCCTCAGCGATGCTCCACTGTTCCCCAGGGTGTCTGGGGTCGTCAAGTGGCGTAGCTCCTGCCGGCACAGTCCCTTCTCTGGGCTCATTAGGCAGCCTGGAGTCCGCCTGGACTTCTGTGTGCCGTGGCTCTGTAATCAGGGCCTGTAGCAGCTCCCTGGAGAGAGCCTGCAGTCTGCATCCTACCCCTTCAGCAGCCCGCCCAGACTGAGTTGGGCTGCTTCCTTTTATACTTTGCCTCCAGGCTGAGCATGCTCAGCAGAGTCGGAGGGGTGGGTTTCCTCAGCCTGCAAAGCCAAATGAACTTTTTTGGGATTGGTGCAAGGTACACCCTGTCAGAGTGATAAAAACCCTTCTTCAGTCAACCTGGTGGAACAGATAGAGACGGCTGTACTTTCCTAAGAAAGGCATAAGAGTTTAAAAAAAATGAGGTAACTACTGGCATGAAATGTGTGTCATTGCAGGGATGACTTGGTTACTTGCAGAAGGAAGGGATGCTTGTTTCTGAGTGTAGGTATCAGAACACCATTTCCCCCCTCTAGATGAATATGCAACTATTTTCAGGAGCCGAAACTGGGTGTTTATTAACTGATGTTAGAGAAATTAAACAGTTTTAGACTCAGTTTCAATTTTAGAGCAAACTTTACAATGCCATTTCCATCATAAAATTGGTCCCTTATTTGCATTGTGTCTTCTTTGTACAAAAACAATTTTAAGAAAATGTATTAGAAGAGAAGCTGGAAGTCTTCCCTGAAGGCCTTGCATTATATACCCTTCCCCCAGTCTGAGAGACGGGGTGGTAAATACATTTTCCTAGTCTGGAAGATGAAGAAAATGGAATCACTGTGGATGTGATAATTGCCGCCACTGTGCTTAATATTGCTGGGAATGCAATCTACATGGGAAGAAAGTACTAAACTTCCATTATTGAGCAAATGTAGGGTTTTTCTTCTTTCATAAATCTGGCTGAAGTATTTCTTTTATGACTTAGCCACTGTATTAATGACTTCTCTATTCACTTTTTCTCTTTAATTTGTAGTTCACAAAAAGTTCACCACAGAAGTTTATTCCCAAAGCATGTATCAATGCATAAAACTCATTGGGTAAATAAATGAGCTTGTAAGAGGAATCTCAGTCTCTCAAACTATGCAGCAGTGACCATATTACACACATGGACACTTAAACCCTACATGAACAACAGCAATAAATCAACATTGCTTTAATAAGTGAGTTCTCTAAAGGTACAAGCATAATGAAGGCTTGGCTGAGTTTTCAAATACACTTGGCATTAGTCTAACTCTGCTCCCATTAAAGTCAGGAGGACTTTTATCATTGTCTTTAAGAGTAGCAGTGTTAGTCGAACATTGAGCACCTCCAAAAATATCACCATGCAACATACAAATACTGTAAATGAAGTATAATCTAGTACTCATCTCACTAAACAATACCTTCTAAAACACTGTTATATCTGATCTCAGAGAGGATGCCACTGCCAAATGCTATCATGAAGCTCGAGCCACCAAAATTTTCTGTCAAATCCCTTTAAGTCAGAGGAGAGCCCCTAAAGATGTAGCACACTGGAAATACATGGGAAAGCAGACACTTAACAGAGAAGATATGCAGATGAATAGTCTCCACAAAACAAAGTCACTAATAAGTTCTGATTTAGGTGGATTCCAGCTACAACATTTTTAAACCTATTAAGTCTGTTGTATGCCAGCTGAAGGTGTGATGCATTACCAGTGTATACAGCTAGGGCACAGATACACAATGTATAATGAACAGGAGTACTTGTGGCACCTTGTATAATCTAAGGGCCAAAATGTAGCCAAGAGCCACCTTCAGGACAAAACTGAGGAACTGCAAGCTCTCACTGCTAGTGAGAGTAAACAAAAAACTCATTTTATTAATCTAAAAAGGAAGAGTACAAGCAAATTTGGTTCTATTTATATTTTAAGTTTATATGCAGCTTCAGTGCAGACCTTTAGCTTCCATCCATTTGTCAAGGTATCCCTCAGTACTGCAACAATTGGGCACTCCTGTGCTAGGAGATAAGGAAGAACAATTGAAAGCTCCATACTTCAAACTATGCTTAACCCAGGGAGAGTCTACAGCCTTCCAGAAGGCCACTTCCAGAGCATACACACTTGCTACAACAGACTGTTCTCTTTTTCCAAAGGCACATGGGCCTGATCCAATGCCCACTGAAATCTGTGAAAAGATCCCCATGTACTTAAAATGGATAATGGGGCATGTCATAGTTAGCAGTAAATTTAGGAAGAGCTTTTGCAAAGGTGACCTGACACCTGAGGCTGGCCTTAGGGAGAGCCTGAAAAGCTGCCATTAGTCAGTGGCCCCAAAGCAGAAAATTTTCAGTGTTGCTTTCAGAGTAGCAGCCGTGTTAGTCTGTATCCGCAAAAAGAAGAACAGGAGTACTTGTGGCACCTTAGAGACTAACACATTTATTAGAGCATAAGCTTTCGTGGGCTACAGCCCACTTCTTAGGATGCATATAGAATGGAACATATATTGAGGAGATATATATACACACATACAGAGAGCATAAACAGGTGGGAATGCTCTCTGTATGTGTGTATATATATCTCCTCAATATATGTTCCATTCTATATGCATCCGAAGAAGTGGGCTGTAGTCCACGAAAGCTTATGCTCTAATAAATGTGTTAGTCTCTAAGGTGCCACAAGTACTCCTGTTCTTCTTTTTGCTGATTAGCACAGTTAACATTAATGTTAACAGTACAGGAGTTTCTTTAAATTTGAGGCAGAGTAATTAAACTAAGTCATGAGTTTAAAGAGCCTTTGTTCCACAAACACACTTGGTTCATTTCAAAGCTTCAGATAATAATGCATAACAGTGTATTGGGAGAAAAAAAAGAAAGGGGGGAAATGTTTTCTGACCAAATGTGATGGGAGCTGTATTCTCCCTTCCTAAACATAAAGGATGCAGAGAGAGAGAGAGAGACAGGTTTTGTATTAGCATATCAACTACAAATTAACTGGTCAATACAGAAGAGGAGGGAAGAGGGCAAAGATAAATAAAACACTAGGGGAAAAAATAGCTAATCATTGACAGTGAGGGTCAACCGCTGAATCTCATCCCCAGCCTAATTATGCTTTTATAGCCACAATTATCTCCTTCTAACCTCTATTTCCTAAAACTCATTTAAAACAAAACCAGCACAAAATGCATATGAACTTTGGACATATAACTCTTCCATAGGATACTAATTTTTCATGTTCATTGATTTTTAAAGTAATTAATAAGTATTATATATAAAGATACAGGTATATAAAATAACATTACATTGGTAAAAAATAATGTGCAAAGTATTCTTTAATGATTAATAGCCCACAGAATTCAGAGTCACCCATCACTTATATCTAAATGGCTAATGATGAGGAGAAACAGCAGCACACAAATCCATAGCAAATATTGATTTAAGTTATAAGGTAGCAGGTTACCTTTCTGATCACAGCTACTATTACAGTAATACAAATGTCCTTGATTGTTTTAAGACCTTCACTGTTGAGTAATTGACTTTTTTTTTTTTTTTTGCAGGGGATGGAGGCTGCAATTCAACCCATATGAAGGCTAGTGATAAAAATGCAGTGAATAATGAATGATGTTTTCTAATTACATAATTCTCTCAAATAAGTGGAATAAGCAATTCAAACCTCTGGAGGCATGGCAATTAATGGCAGTTATATCAACTCAATAAGGAACCTGATAATGACACACACATTTTTGCTGTTTTTATGCTAAAGAAAAATGAAAGGCAGTCAAGGTTTAAGAGTGTTATATACCCAATGAACTATAGAAGACAATTCAATAGAAACTTATGTCTCTTACCTGTGAGTACAGCTTTTGCCGAAGGATCTGCCAGGTCCAGCGCTGATTTCCCATCGGTGTTTCGAATGTTTGGATCAGCTCCGTGCTGCAGCAGCACTGTGCAGGGAAAGCAGAAACAATATCTTACCTCAGGGATACACAGATTATTTACTGGTAAGGGTCTCCTCGGCATGGTGTAGGCATAAACACACATTGCACAATTTCCCCCCCTTTTTTTTTTAAATACACTGCAGCAAAGGATCCTCTCCTGAGTAAAGCTAACTTGGCAACTTAAGGTATAGTAAAAATCACATGATTTAGCATCATAATCATGAAACCTGAATATTTTTCAATATACAGTGTGGTTCCCTCCTACAGGCAGCTATCTGGGAAGCTGTGTACACACTGACTCACACTGTGAAATATGCTCACTGTGGAACCTGCTCTGTCTTTACTACCGCTGTTGCTGCTGCTGCTGCTCCTTTTACTGCTGAATATCCAGATCCTTCTATCTCAGAACAGTAGTAATGCTCAAGTCTTTTAGTGGCTCACCATTTACAGAGAAATCTTACCACAACATACTCTCTGTGTCCAAAAAATGTAATAAGTAGGGTAATATGTGCTACTCTGGTACCCTGCAGTCTGGATACTCAGAAGTTACTGCCCTCCACAATATTTTTTTCTACTGAAACAAAAATTCAATTGCATAAAAATATTTGAAGCAGAGAGCAGCATACAACCATATGGCATGTAGGATATTGCAACAGTGAATTACCACATATAAGAGCATTTGCAAGAAACTAGAAATGGATATTCCACACTTAACCAATCTTAAACAGAAATAACTCTACAATAATACAGTTTGGACCAAGTATCAGAGGGGGAGCCGTGTTAGTCTGAATCTGTAAAAAGCAACAGAGGGCCCTGTGGCACCTTTAAGACTAACAGAAGTATTGGAAGCATAAGCTTTCGTGGGTAAGAACCTCACTT